TTAATTCTTGGTTCGTGTTTTTATGACATATAGAGACGTACGAACAAGTCACTAGATTTAATCTTTACTGAAGTATTGGTTCTATCTGGCATACTGTTGACCAACTTATTTTCGCCAGCCATTTATTTTTCAACTTTCGCGAGTAGAAAAATAACGCAAATATATATATCGTCGCGAGCTTGTAGCATTTGGACCTTTCCCTATATGAATACACCATAACAATTAGAAAAGCACGAAAATATATTGCCGCAAAGTTGGTAAGAAAGGGTTAAACGCGAAATAAAGTATCCGCGAAAAAAAATTGGTTTACAGTATATTATGTATTCGTTGTGCATGTAGTGGTCGATGGAACATATTTTACATATGGGTCGTTTATAGTTTAAAATCTTTCTGGTTAACGGGAGATAATCCAATTTGACCATGTTATTTATGAGTCGTATAGGAGTAAATTCAGTACAAAATCTTCCATTGGCCTCTATGCAAACCTATCACTGGAATTAAATTTAAGCCTGGTTTACCTTAAGAAATCAGAAGCTTTCATGTCATTTTTTACAAATACTGCAGATTCACACTTAATTGCAACACTGACCCCCATTATTTTTCAACCCTGTAGTTAACAAATTAAGGGCATTCAACATTCATTTTATTACTTTTTTAAACCCTAGTTTTAATCCATCTTATCAAAAATATGTATTACAAACATTACTTACCAATCAGTGGAGCACAGCACTTCAGTTTTATCAAGAAAGCTCTCCCCAAAATGGGCGGTCCTTAATTACGTTTATTTATTTACTGAATTTACCCCTATACTTACGTTACGTATATGTTACAGTACAAATTGGAATTCGGTAGGATCCAGAATCCTCCTAGTACAAATTAAAATTCCAAAATCTACTGGTAAAAATTGGAATCCTGATTTATATTAATTAAAATCCAGTACAAATCAGAATTCCAATGTCTTCTAGTAGAAATTGGGATAAACAGATTTTTACTAGGAGGATTCTGGATTGTACTACATTTCTAGTAGGATCCAGGATATTACTTTAACAATAGTCTATATGATTATGGATTTTACTGGATTTAAAAAAAAATATTATTCAATAATTCTTATATGATTTGCATATTAGGGAAAACGTTGATATGATTGGTCGAGAGGACTTCCGGTAGTTGATCCTGACGTTGATTATTTTTCGATAGACGACGTTGAACGAACTACTTTTCGTAACCAATGTAAACAAGATGGCGGCGATCATAACACCGACGTTAACAAAATTTATTTTCACTGTACGTTAATCGTTAAATCAAAAAAAAAAATACACAAAAACATTCGTTTGAATGATAAAAAGAGTTTTTGTTTATCTTTTTTTATCAGATAGCAAATTTCATGGAGTACATATTTTTGCGTTAACCAACAAATATATTCATGCGCCAGGCCTATTCAATGACACAAATATACAACTTACGTGTGGTAGAGGTTACGGGTGTGGAAAAATATATTCCCTATCTTCAATTTTAAAGAATTATAAGGATTAAACGCCTTTTTAAAGGAATTTATTGGTGTATAGATGGACTTTTATGATATGTTTGTGAGTGACTTGGTCCAGTATACACCAATAAATTCCTTTAAAAAGGCGTTTAATCCTATAACAATTTAATTATGGATATAACACGTCTTCTGATTGGCTGAAAGTTTTTTGTCTACCTAAAAAATGTGGTGCACACTTTAAAATAACTCGCTACGCGGGTTCTTTAGTGTGCACCACATTTTTTATGTTATTTCGAATAGACAGAAAAAATATTACAATCATTCCTTAAATATTTTTACTGATGCAATTGATAAACAAAAATAAAACAAAATAAATGATAATATCATGCCATTTTCAATACTTTATTGCATACAAAATACTGTAATATGCATACCCTTGCATGACATTCTTTAATTCATGATAACATTTGCTAATATTTTGTTTATGGTATTTTGATAAGCAAGTAATTTTGACTTGACTCCTTGAACAGAGTTTGAAGAAAAATATTTTCTGTAAATAAAAAAGATTGTTTTCTGAATATAAATTTTGTGACATACTTGTGATTGCGAATTTGATATGTTTTTGTTAAATGTTGTAATAAAAGACATCATTAACATAAATGAATTCTTATCTGATAGACAAGAATGTCCTGATAATAACTCAAAGTTTTCCAAAAAGTTGAAGTGTTTAACCTTGCATATATAGGTATCAATAATTTGATGAATGATCAAATCTTCTGAAATACATGTACACTAAATTACTGTTAAAAACCCTAAAATACTTCATATGAACTTATGATATTTTTAATTTTAGAAAAGATTATAGAATCCAAAAGATTTCTTTCATTGTGTTTTATTAGTAATCATGTAGTACAATCCAGAATCATCTTAGCACAAATCTGAATATTCCAATTTTTAACAGAATATATTGGAATTCTGATTTATACTAGGAGGATTCTGGCTCCTATTGAATTCCAATGTGTACTGTAACATACAATGACATATACATTACAGTTATAAAATACAAAATATAAAAACTTTATTTAAAGTCGAACATGCTTTAAACATTAGACATTAAATATAGACACACATACATATAAATAAGACATGACACATATAAATGTAAATAAGAAATGACACACATCAAATGAATATAAATACACATGTAAACATAAACATCACACACACACACACACACACACACACACAAACACACGCATATATATATATATATATATATATAAGCACTCAGTTGTAGCACGTTTAAAAATATAAGTGTGCAACACATAACAAAAAAGCTGTTAGGAGCATACATTGCAGTGTCATTTGCTACCATTCTACATTATGTTTAAGTATGCTGTTTCTCCAGATGTCTCCATTAGGTAAATTATATAATTTACAATATTTAAAGGAGATTACTACTCCGTAGCGTAATATCCAACCTCTCTGTTTGAATGAGGATTAAACCATGTGTATAGTATATGATTAAAGACCCGGAACATAGATTGCATTATAAAGTGTTTTTCGATACAGCATATGGTGTCATTGTGTACCATAACCAACAAAAAGTCTCAGTTCTACCATATAATTATGGAATCATAATGACAGTACAAATAGTCAATAACACGTGGTCGCAAACAATCATACCACGTATGAGAGCTTTCTGTCAAAAGGTCTCAGAGAAGTTTCGTTTTCATTGTCATCGTAGTCATGGTGGTAGGATTGTAAATAAAATTCCAGAATTTCAAAAACAATAGTCATATCAATATGACAGTATATTATTGTACCTATATAGTAAGTATGACAGTTTTCTGTCATACAATGTCAGAGGAGTTGTGCTATTGTAGTAAATTATCAAAATGGTCACAATCCCATAACTGCAGTAAAATGGTCAAATCAAAATTACAGTATAACATTGTCAACTACAAATGAAGGCAAACAAGTATAAGCTTTTTATTAAACGGTATCTGAGGAGTTGCGTTCACAAGGTGGCATTGTGGTGCAATAGTTCAAAATATTGTCAAAGTCCTATAACTTCCATAAGTTAAAATCAAAATGATGGTACAATGTGGTCAATGATATATGAACCAGTCCATGCTAAAATGTACAAAAACGAAAAAAATGCGAAATTCTAAAAAGTGAACATGATTATTGGTAGCAGACTTGTGATCTATAAAACACCATTACTTTTCCTCATACCCTTAAGCTGTAAGCTACACATATCTTTCAGTGCTGACACCTCAACCACTCCCCCTTGTGTTTTAAAGATTTTGCTCAATTATTTCATATTCTTTATTCATTTTCCACGTATAATTTAAATGTCTTAACTTGCCTTTTGATTATGTTCACTCGGGTAGCAGTGGGGACAAGGCTCTCGCTTACTATTCAGAAATATGTACAATTTAATGGGGCTACGGTTCGAATCCTGTCTACGGACGGTTGATTTACATAATATTAAATAACTTAACTTAACTTAAATTTCAAAACACAAAGTGACATAATTTTTGTATTTTCCCATACGTTTAACTGTTGTCTTCCTTTCTTTAGGCATATGTAGGGTGAAGAAAATTGTTGACCTTTTCTCTCTATAGTGTCGTAAATGGTTCAATTTCTGCTCAGTATAGCATTGTTACGCGTAACAAATGATTTTGTACTTGCCTAAGTACAAAACTTCAGATAATTCTACGTCTTTTGCCATTTTAACCGACAAGTTCGGGACAGAATTGACAATTTTATGAATGTTTACATTAATATCATTTTTTTCGGATAAAATCGTTTTTCAAAAATATTTATACAAACTTTAACAACGTGTCCTGTAAAGTTCATCACAAAACTTTTTATACCTTTTTCGCATGAACTGGCTCGTATGGTAGTAAACAATCCTGCCATCTGTGAAAGCATTCTGTCAAACGTTTTCAAAGAAGCTGCGTTCATATGTGCTCTTTGTGGTACCATATACCAACACAAGATCAAAGTCTCATTGGTCCTGTAAAAATGGTCAAATCACATAGGCGGTACAATTTAGTACAACTTTAGAAGATGAAAATAAATCCTACCAAGTATGAAAGCTTCTGTAAAACGGTCTCAGATGAGTTGCGTTCACAAGGTTTCATTTTTAAAATACTATAAATAAAATTATCAAAGTACAATAACTCCAGTACAAGTATTCGAATCAAAATGATGGTACACTATGCATGCTATGGTCAACGACACAAGATGGCAAACCATTCTACAAAGTATGAGGTCTTTCTGTTAAATCGTCTTAAAGGAATTGCGTTCAAAATGTGTCATTGTTAAAATACTAAAACCAAATCTCCTGTACACAGTACATGGTCAAATCAAAACGACGGTACAATAAGGTCAAAAGAATATGACGACAAATAAGCAAGCTTTCTGTCGAACGATTTTTAGCATTGGTGTTTTTCGGATGGTCGTACGGACGGGTGGAGAGCATTATCATATCTCCCATGGCGCAGGCCGCCGATGGGGGACAAAAAGACAAGAGGATCTTCTTCGTCGAATGAACACTTCTATGTAATTATATATTTAATCTTAAAACAAAAGATTATCACATTTTTAATGAAAACAACATTTTTTAACAATGAGCGAAATGTTACTGTCATAGTTATTATCTTACTTTTATTTTCAAATGTGTTAACCTAGTGAACACAATATCATAAAAAGCAGCGATGTATGACTTATAAGTAGGTATACATAGGCATAGCTCTAGGTTCCAACACACATTTTATTTGAATAAGTAAATGGAAATTAATGTTTTCGTTTGATATTGTCTAAACGAAAAGTAAAATAGAGCAAGACTAATAAAAATGTTATCATAACATCAACGCTACCATTTAGCAAAATGATGTCAGTTGATCTGAAAAGATTATTGTTAACTTTTTCGTCATTCTTGTTAAATTTACTTTATTTACGACGAATTTTCATGGACGATTTTTCCAAACCCTTAGTAAAATAAGGGTCCCAGTACTGCCAATTCATTGAGTCAATACTTTCATCAGGGGTCCATTTTCCATTTAAATTGACAGTAGAACAATATTGCTGAAACCACCATCCTGAATGTAACTTCTCGCTACACGGTGGAATACTTCCTCTTGCGGTGTCGTCTTTATCTTTTGTCTTGAACTTTGCATTGTTGTTACCCATCATGCCGGTGCTTCCATCTTCACATTATTAAAAGAGAAAACCATATCATTATAAATATTTAACCGATAAGCACTTAAGCATGTTTGATAAAATAGATATACCCTCGAAAATTGTATTGAGAATGATGACAAAGAAACATCAAAGTCATGCATCCCGAATAGACATTAACGTAACTAAATAAGGCTTAGAAGTAATTATCAGGACTGCCAAATTCATATTGTGTACTGCGTATCAAAAGAATCATTTTGAATTGTACAATTAATAAAAACAATTAAAAACCAATTAAAAACCAATTGTTCATAGAACAATTGAAGGTCTTTCCACATCAGAATGATGAGAAGCTACTTCCGGTTTACTCAAAGTTGATATAAGCGTCCAAGCATATGTTTTTCATACTGATTCAATAAATATATTATTCTATATACTTTTGCCTGAATCAAGGGAGATAACCGTCAACTTCCGGTTTAAAATGTCACTTTCTGTCTCGTAGAATAGCATTATTCACACTGATTCCAAAAATATATGGTTTCTATATACTTTTGCCTGTAATAAGGGAGATATTTAGCTACTTCTGGTTTATTGAAGGTCACTTCCCGTCTCATATGATAGGTTTATGCATGCTCATTTAAGAAATATATAGTTTCTATGTACCTTTCCACGGAATAAGTGCAAAAATGGCTACATCCGGTTTACTCAAGGTCACTTCCGGTTGATATTTTTCAAGGTCATAAGTCACCTAACATTTTGCGAAAGACCCTTTGGCTTTATCATGTACCAAGTTGGAGTAATAATCAATTAACCTTAAAATTAACCATTTCAGGGACAATAACTCCTATAAGATGTCATTTGATTGTTTCGGACCAAATGTATCATATCTGCATCACAATGAAGCAAACATTTTGCACTAGTTCTTTTATGTATATCTTAAAAGGTGATAGAGGAGATCATAAAACAAGGAAAAGTCCAAATTTAGAATATGACCTTGACCTTTGACCTCCATTTCATTTTAGTGAACCAAGGACCTCAAACCAAAATACCTTAGGTCTCTTTCACTTACCATTCATGCTATTCATTAATAGATCACTTATGTCAAAAACAGAAGGAGAAATAACTCTCATATGGAGTCTTCGTGTCACTTCGGTCAAAATTGGACAAAACATCCTGAAGATATAACGAGCAAATTGGTAAATAAATTTGTCGATTTCTTTAACGGTTATGGAGGACATGCACGAACAACAAAAACAGTGTTTGGGGAGATAACTTTTACAATAAAAAGTGTTCGACTAAACAGGGTCATTTAAAAAGCGCAATAACTGCTTGATATCATATGCAAAATATATAGGCGACATCTTGCAAAACAACTATACACTGCAAGAAACAAATTTGGCAGAAGAAAACAAATAATAATCAAAAACCAATTGTTCAGAGAACAATTGAAAGGCTTTCCACATCAATCTCTAAATTTTTCATGAGAAGCTACTTCCGGTTTACTCAAAGTTACTATTGGCGTCCAACCAAAGGTTTCTTCATACTGATTCAATTAATATATGTTTCAATAAATTTTTGCCTAAAATAAGGGAGATAATTGTCAACTTCAGGTTTAAAAAATGTCACTTCCGGTCTCACATGATAGCTTTATTCTCACTGATTCTAAAAATATATGGTTTCTATATACTTTTGCCTGTAATAAGGGAGATATTATGTACTCCCGGTTTATTGAAGGTCACTTCCGGTCTCAAATGATAAGTTTAAGTATGCGAATTTACAAAATATATGGTTTCATGGTACTTTTTCATGAAATAAGTGCAGAAATGGCTACTTCCGGTTTACTCAAGGTTACTTCAGGTTGATATTTTCTAAGGTCATATGACAACCAACAGTTTGCAAAAGACCCTATGGCTTAATCATGTACCAAGTTGGAGTAATAATCAATTAACCTTAAATTTAATCATTTCAGGGACAATAACTCCTATAAGATGTCATTGGATTGTTTCAAACCAATGTAACATATCTTCATCATAATCAGGCAAATATTTTGCACTAGTTCTTTTATATATATCATTAAAAGTGACAGAGAAGATCATAAAACAAAGAAAAGTTAAAATTTAGAATATGACCTTGACCTCTGACCTTAACCTCAATTTCATTTTAGTGAACCAATGACCCCAAATCAATATATCTAAGGTCTCTTTCACTTACCATTCATGCTATACATTAATGTTTCACTTATGTTAAATACAGAAGGGGGAATAACTCTCATATGGAGTCTTCGTATCGCTTCATTCAAAATTGGACAAAACATTCTGAGGATATAACGAGCAATTTGGAAAAATAAATTTGTCGCTTTATTTTATGGTTACGAAGGAGATGCACTCACAAGGAAAACAGAGTTTGGGGAGATAACTCCCACAAAGAAAAGTATTTTTCGGTTAAGTAGGATCAATTTCATAGGCGCATAAATTGTGCGATATCATATACCAAACATCTAAGCGACATCTTGCGAAACAAAATTTATACGCAAGAAATAAAAGTATCGGAAGAAGAAAAAATTTTATTAAAAACCAACTGTTCAGAGAACAATTGAAGCTCTTTCCACATAAATTTTCAAAGTTATTGAAAATAAGCTAGTTTCGGTTTACCCAAAGTTAAAATTGATATCCAATCATAAGTTTCTTCAAACTGATGCAATAAATGAATGGTTTCTATATACTTTTGAGTGAAATAAGGGAGATAATGTGCTACTTCCGGTGAAGTAAACGTCACTTCCGGTCTCATTTGATAGCTTCTTTTAGACTGATTCCAAAAATATATAGTTTCTATATTCTTTTGCATGTAAAACTGGAGATAATTGGCCACTTCCGGTTTATCGAAAGTCACTTCTGGTCTTGAGCGAAAAGTTTATGTATTTATATTACAAAATATATGGATTCTGAGTACTTATCCATGAAAAAGTGCAAAAAAGGCTACTTCCGGTTTACTCAAGTTCACTTCCGGTTGACATTTTTCAAGGTCATATGTCACCCAACCTTTTGTAAAAGATCATATGGCTTTATAATGAACCAAGTTGAAGTAATAATCAAATAACCTTATAATTAGACATTTCAGGGGCACTAACACCTATTAGATGTAATTAGATTGTTTCAGACCAAACATTACAATAAAGCAAACATTTTGCACTTGTTCTTTTATATATATCTTTAAAAGTGTTGGAGAAAATGCAAAAACAAGGAAAAGTCCAAATTTAGAACTTGACCTTTGACCTTGACTTCATTTTCTAAGTTAGGACCTAGGGGCCTCAAATAAAAAGATTTCAGGGTTACACGTTTAACGGTTTATGAGTTAAAAAAACATTCAGACAAATTTTTTGGTAAAGGTAGATAACTCCTATAAAACTTCATCGAATCGCTTCGATCCAAATAAGCCAAAAATTCCTGAGGATGTAACGAGCAATTTAGAAAAGGAATTTAAATTTGTCGATATCTTTTTTTGTTACGAAGGAGATGCACACACTTGATAAACAGTGAATAGGGAGATTACTCTGACAAAGAAAATTGTTCGTCTAAGCAGTGTGAAATTTAAAAGGGCATAAACTATACGATACAATATGAGAAATATCTAAGCGACATATTGCGAAATAAATATTTATCGCAAAGACAAAATTAGGCGGAAAAAAAAAAATAATAATAATTAAAAACCAATTGTTTAAAGAATAATTGAAGGTCTTTCCACATCAATTTTCTAAATAATTGATAAGAAGATACTTCTGGTTTACTCGAAGTTACTAATGGCGTTCAAAAATAGGTTTCTTCATACTGATTCAATAAATGAATGGTTTCTATATACTTTTGCCTGAAATAAGGGAGATAATTGTCAACATCCGGTTTAGAAAATGTCACTTCTGGTCTCATATGACAGCTTTATTTACACTGATTCCAAAAATATATGGTTTATATATACTTTTGCCTGTAAAAAGGGAGATAAAAATGCTACTTCCGGTTTATAAAATGTTACTTTCGGTCTCAAATGATAGGTTAATGTATGCCCATTCAAAAAATATATGGATTTCTAGTACTTTTCCATGAAAAAAGTGCAAAAATGGCTACTTACGGTTTTCTCAAGGTCACTTCCGGTTGTCATTTTTCAAGGTCATATGTCACCCAACCTTTTGTAAAAGGTCATATGGGTTTTTAATGAACCATGTTGAAGTAATAATCAATTAACCTTATAATTGGACATTTCAAGGGCACTAACTCCTATTTGATGCCATTAGATTGTTTCAGACCAAACTTAACATATCTTCATTACAATTAAGCAAACATTTTGCACTTGTTCTTTTATAGATATATTTAAAAGTGTTGAAGAAAATGCAAAAACAAGGAAATATCAAAACTGAGAGCTTGACCTTGACCTTTGACCTTGACTTCATTTTCTAGGTTAGGACCTAGGGGTCTCAAATAAAAACATTCTAGGGTTATACAGTTAAGGGTTTATGAGTTAAAAATACTTACCGACAAATTTATTTGGTAAAGGTAGATAACTCCTATAAAATTTCATCGAATCGCTTCGATCCAAATAAGCCAAAAATTCCTGAGGATGTAACGAACAATTTAGAAAAAGAATTTTGTCGATATCTTTTTTGTTACAAAGGAGATGTACACACTTGATAAACAGTGAATAGGGAGATAACTCTTACATAGAAAATTGTTCGTCTTAGCAGGGTGAAATTTAAAAGCGCATAAACTATACGATACAATATGAGAAATATCTAAGCGACATATTGCGAAAAACAAATATTTATCGCAAGGACAAAATTTGGCGGAAAAAAAAAATAATAAATATAAATCAGTTTTAAAAACAATTTTTAGAAGCTCTTTCCCCTCTGAGACATGAATTGATTTTTTTTATTGATTGGTTAATTGGTTGGTTGGTTGCTTGCTTGCTTGCTTGCTTGCTTGCTTGCTTGCTTGACTGATATACTAATTAAACCCATGGGATAGGGTCTCTTTGAACAAGCGAA